CCCCCACCCCCTTCCCCGCACATTAAGGGCAGGGGGCACTTGTCCATCATCTTAGGCCCCCTGCCCAGGCAAAAATAAGTCAGCACCTCTGAGTTGAGCTCTTTGTGAGAGAGGTTTTTCCTTATATCTGGCTGCAACTTGTCCTGGTACCAACCCACCACCCCGAGAACAGTGGTAGAGAAGTATTGCTGGGAGGAACCCCCATGGTTCATCTAGTCCAGAGGGTCCCAAACCTTTTCTTACTGTGTACCCCTTCCTGATTTACTAGCCAGCCACATACCCCTGCCAGCGGAGATTTATATTTTAACTCCTTAAACGAAAATTAAATTACAAAGTTTCTCCTACGTACCCCACAGAAGGGTGCATGTACCACAGTTTGGGAACCCCTGGTTTAATCCAACCTCCTGTGTGAGGCAGGAACGCCCCTATCCAAGCTGTCCCATACAACCATCCTCTAAACATGACATAAGACTTCCTAGCTCAGGGGTGGCTGGAGGACCACTTGACAAGCTTTGGTGAGCTGTTGAGGGCTGCACACAAAAAATCTTTTAGAAGATATTTTAACAAATGATAGATTTTAAAAAATAACATACGCAAATCAAACGTATGTACATGTATTTTAATTTTATTTCAAAAAATAATTTTTGTCCTGATTTATGTTTTTCTGAGTAGTGCATACAGAGGCGATGGCATAATAGCTCAAAGTAAAGTCTCGCTTTCGTATATTGTGTGTGTGTGTGGAGGGGTAGGGGGGTGTGAGAGCTGCCTGTGTGCTAGGTCTCAGGAGCAGATGTGGTGGGGGGAAGGAGAGGGGAGGCCGGGGGCACATGCAGCAGAGCTCGCCTGGGTAGTGCAGGTGCAGTCCACCCCCCACATCCAGCCCTGCATGAGCCAAGCCCTGCCCTCTCCCACTTGGGGCAGCCCACACTGCACTCCCACCTGAACCCACCCCTGGCCCTGGCTGGTACGCACAGCTTCCTAGTGAGTGGCTGCTCATCATGCCGGGTGGGCAGAGTGGGTGCGAGGTGACCTGGAGCTGGAGCCCTGTGCCTCCCTCCCCCGCCTGGCTGGGCATGTGGTACCTGGCACATGTCCCCATGGCTGCTGTTGCTTCTCCATGCTACCTGCTGTCTGGAGCTGCAGCAGCAGGGGCAGAAGGAAATGCTGCTGGAGGCAGGGGGAACTAAGTAATACCTGGGGCCACACCAGGAGCAGCCCTGGTGGGAAGCTGTGCACACTGGGTGGGGCCGGGGGCAGGCAGGAGAGCACAGCATGGCTTGCCCTGGGTAGGAGTGGATGGGGCTCAGCCCAGTGCAGAGTGCCACGGGGGCAGCTGCGGGCCAGAGACAATCAGTTGGCTGGCCAGATCTGGCCCACAGGCTTTATTTTATCCACCCCGATCTAGCTCCATCCTCTTTGGAACCACCCTTTAGGCAGTTGAAAGTTGCTATTAAATCCCCATTCAGGCTTTTCTTCACCAGACTAAATATGCCCAGTTCCCTCAGCTTCTCCTCATAGGTGCACAGGGCAGTGCCTGGTACCCACGGGGCAGTGCCTGGTCCCTTCCAGTGACTGGTCTCTCTACAGGCCACATCTAGCCAGTAGACCCAATTCAGGGTCCAGGGTGTGTGCAGCAGGGTCCCATCCAGTCACGTAGAATGGGGCTGGCAGGGGGAATTGGGGCCCCAGCCATTCAGGGATAGGGGGCTTGGCCTGGCCCTGATCTGGCCATGTGGGGAAATGGTTATGGCCCAGCTCTGACCTGCTGTGCCAAGCTTGGGATGTTGGCAGTGGGTAGGGGTGGCGGTATTAACTGCCACTGCTCCCTCACTGCCAAATTTCCTGACTTGGGAGCCCCATGGGCCAGATTCCAAGGCTCCATAGCCTGCATTTGGCCCCAGGGCAGATTTTGAACACCCCTAGTCTAAACCACTGGTGCCCAACCTCAAGACCCTGCTTGTCAGAGGAGTGGCACAGGGTGAGTCCACAGGTGGGATCCCATGCAGGGGGAGTCAGTGGGTGCCATCCCATACACCCAGATCCATCCTGACCCTGGGTACCCATATGCAGCTGTGTGCTGGCACATTATCTGGACCCGCTTGGGGAGTGGCAATTACTGCTGCCACTGTCACCTGCTGCCAAATTTCTTGACCCTTGGGGAGCCCTGCCAGCTGGATGACAGCTCTGCAGGCCAGATTTGACCTATGGGCTGGGGATTGAGCACCCTTTGTCTAAACCCATTTGTTTCCATTCTCCAAACTCAGCAAAGCACAGTGAGTAGGCTTGGCAGAATTCAGATTGAGATATATAATTTCAATGGCTAAAATCAATGTTTATTTTTAGACATTTCTTTCACCTTTTATCATTTTTTATCAATTAAAATTTTAAAGATTGCACGCAATTGGGGCGTGGGGGGCAGACAATATAGTAATGACGGTATACTGTTAAACGGTTTATAAAATCACTTTAAAATATATAAAATAAATTCCATAAATCAATAATGCATACCTGCTTTAAATCATTCTGTTCACTCATCAGGAAAAAGCTGGGTGGGCAAGGATCAGAAGAGGAGGAGAGCAGCACTCCAGAGCTCTGGAAACAAGGGGATGGGCAGCAGAGCAAGGAGCAGCTTCCTGCAGCCCCTTAGAGTTGAGCCCTGCTTGGCAGGCACCAGAAGAGGGGCAGCCCAGCCCCTTGATAGCCACAGCCTCCCACCTCTCCGGGTAGTGTGCAGGCAGTGGCTGGGCCCCAGAGGTACCCCTGCACTTCCTGCCCCACATATGCAGGGGCTGGGCCACACAGGAGCTCTGGGAACATGGGGAGAAGCAGTATGATTGGGATAGGGCACACAGGGGTGCCCCCAGGGCCCAGGTGCTGCCCCCACACTGTCTGGAGAGGCGAGAAGATGTGGCCATCAAGGGGCAAGGCTGCTCTCTTGCTGGTGGCCACCAGGCACAGCTTGCTGCCCAAGGGGCCATGGGGAGCTGCTTCCCAGCCCGGGCTAGGTGGCTGCTGTCTCTCCCTGTGTTCCCAGAGCTCCTGCCCAGCCCAACCCCTTTGTAATCTGGGCAGGGATCAAACTCCCACAAGCCCCAATGACACAGGGGCCAGCCCAGGCTCGCTGGCAGCTTAGCACCAAATCCCCAGCTGGGACCTGGGCAGAGCAAGCAGCCAGTGGCACTAGGCTCCCAGCTGCCAACAGCTTTGCCCCTTCAACCCTGTCCCCCACCCCAACACAGCCCTCACAGCATGGCCCCCAGCTCCTGCAGTAGCTGCCTGAGCCACTGCTAGAGGAGCAGTGCATGGGCAACGCAGCTGGGGCTTCTCCCACCCCACCTGCAGCAGCCACCAAGCATGTGCGCGCACGTGTGTGTGCATGTCCCTGCCCCCGATTTCCTTACCCCCATCCCAGATTTTTTAAATATATTATCTCCTTTCTATAAATTTCTATGATTACCAATGGAAATAATTTTCTGTCCATCTGGTGAAATTAATGTTTATCCATGTTTATCAATAAATGATCAAATCCTGCCAAGCCTAGCAATGAGCATGCATTACAAGCTGGGGAGATGTGCACAGTGTTCCACCCATGGACCAATCTAGGATTCTGAAAAGAGTACAGAGGGTGAGGTGCATCATTACATATCAAACAACACATACTTTTCTCCAGTTAAAAATAAACTAGAACCTTTACTAATATGCTCTGGACCTAGGGCTAGATTGTTCAGTTTAAGATTGAAGCAAAAACAAATACAACTTCATGAGTTAAAAACAGTCTGCAGGGCTGTGAAGCAGGAACTTCATGACCAGAAGCAGCAAACAGATAGCAGCATTGCAAAACAAAGGATAGCTTGATTGGTGGAACATTAAAAAGAAGAGATGGTCATTAATACTTGTGCAATGAAGAGTTTAAAAGGGAGCAGGTAGACTACAAGCCAAGCGACTCCCTCAGTGCTGCCTGATTATAAATGCTGCTGCCACTGCCAGGCAGTTGGTCTGAAACTCTGGGTGGAGCAGGAATCAAAGGAGGGTGCAAGTGCACCAGTACCCACACCCTCACCCCAGATCTGCCACTGGTTCTACTCCACATGTGCCCACATCCCATCCAGAGCAGGCAGATGTGTGCTGCTACTTCCCCCACATGCTTCTAAAAATTCTGGCCATAGTTCCAGCCTCTGTAGCAGCCTGCAGTCCAGTGTTGCACCCTTGCTAGCTATCCAGCATCTCTTATATTTCCAAAGGTGCCTCTTACCCTGCTACCCAAGCTCTAGCTCCAACTGCAGTAGTAGTAAACCCTAATCAGATTTCTGGTTAATTGGCTTTTCGACTCGTATGGAATACTAACAATGGTACCGTACATTGCTTCAACAGCATCTTTCATTCAAGGCTCTCATAGGGCCTCACAAACATTAATTAAGCTTCGTGACACCTCTCTAACACAGATATCAACATCGCTGCTTTGCAACAGAGTGAGCTAAATGAAGCAAGTTTCGTATCAGAGACAGGAAAGGAATCTCGACCCTGGCTGAGGAGCCAATAGCCAGGACTGCCTCTTTGAGCCTTGTTGGATTAGTGACACAGGCTGAAATTGCTCTCGGCACACTTAAACTACTTAGTAGCCTTCTCTGATGCTCCAGGAAGAAAGCTATTTCAGAGGGATTGACAAGGGATTGGGCTTAATTGAGGGTGTGTGAATGAAAGAAGAGGCTGGTTAGGAGAAGCCTGTAAAAGGGCATGAGGTTCCCTGCTTTATGGTGTGGAGGTCACTGGAAAGGATACTCACTGGCATGGATAGTCATCAACCTGCTCTTTCCCATGAAGGAGGAACTGGAGCCACCGAGTATCTTGATAATGTATCCAACTGTTTGCCAGTGGTGTTAGAGGGAAGAACCCATCAACACCAATTGCAGATCCTTGGTATCTGTTAGGCCGTAAGTAATCTCCAGGACATCTCTGTTACCTTTTTTTTTGAGGATGTAACAAGCTCTTTACAATGGCAGATTGTGGCACAGGGTGACAGCGACAGGCTGTGGAGGAAACCAGGGGGTAGTCACCTCTTGCCTATGACAGTTCCACTCTACGGTAATTTCTACTCATTTCAGGAATATTCTTTCTGGTTTACCTGATACATGAAGGCGTTCAGAGTCAGCTTCAAGTCTTTGGGTTAAGATAATAGTGTCATTCACCCCCCATGAATATTGGTAGCTATCCTGCCCACTGGGAGGAGAGGAATATTGGTCAAAGCTCAGAGTTAGGGAAGAAGAAAGGAGCTCCATCAGGATTAGGAGACTTCTATGGAGGTCCGCATTTCTTCTCTTTCCCTCTTGCTCTAAAAAGAGTGGTAGGACTTCATTGTTACTGTAATGAGCACCTGAATTCTTCCCCGGGAAATGCACTGTCTCCAAACATAATTCAAGATGGTGGTTAAAACCCTTCATTGCCTAGAACCCTCTGTGATTGCTTCTTCCGCAGCAGCTCGGCTAAGCTGACATGTTCTTGATGTCTGCGCAGGGTTGAGTTCCAGCAAGACATGCTCAGACACAGCCTTGGGGCTATGAGGATCTTTCAGACTAGGGCATCTGTTCAGTTCAGTGCCTTAACCAGCAACAGATTCAATGTAGGAAGAGGACCTGCTTCATTTCTGTGTTCATTTTGACTGGTCCTTCAGAGCTGTATTTTTTTTTCATTTTTGTATTGGGTATTGGCATAATGGGATGCAGGCCCTTTATGAATAAAAGTGGACTTTTTATTCCCAGTTTACTCCTTGGTTACAGTGTGCTGTTAGTGTTCGTTAGAGTATACACTTTAACTTACACAGTTACACACTTAGTGCTCTTTGAACTACCCACATGCATTGGAGAGGTTTCTGTATTAGTCTAATGGCAGGATAGGAGGTTAGAAATGCTGTGAAGTGTCATAATTTACTTCTCTGTGCAAGCCTGCCATCTAGCCTGGTTTTTGTTATCAGGTATCTATAAAAAGACTTGCATTTGTTTAGTCACTGTGAGGTTAGCACATTTGAGATCATATGGGCTATGTATAGGGTGGTCACTACTGTACAAAATACAGAAGAAGATGCAGGACCTATTCCACGGGGGCTGTGTTGTAATGTGAAATACTACACACTTCTGACAAATCCAGGGCTTCACAGTTGGTCGCATTGCACCTTTTTTAAAATGTAGGGCCCTAAAAGCTGGCAAATCCAGCCCTCAGAGAATAGTTTTAGCATGTGGGATTCATTGGTGGCTCTATGGTGCTACAGTGCCCAGGCTAGACTTATGCCTGGGGAAAGCATAGCCATGGCACTGCGTACTTCTCTTACCAGTCAAGTCCAAATTAGAGCTGACCTAAAGCTAAGGCAGGCCTCTAGCCTGAGGGGAAGATGGGATATGATTGTAAATGTGTCTTTAAATAACTTCTACCTTCCCCAGCCCTCAAGTTCCTGTGCCAAGTGAAGCAACTGGTAGTCAGTGCCATCACAGTCAGTGGATAGAGGCCTAAAAGATACCGTTTAACTATTGCTCTTGTCGCATAACGCATGGTGGGTTCACATTGACAGGGTTAGAGCAAAACACATTTTTAAGGAGCGTTGTGAAGACGAGAATGCAGTTGATTGGCAGGGGAGTTCCAAGCATAAGGACAGAGACTGCAAAGAGGAGGAAACACCATGGGACACGG